CCTGGGGTGGTTTGGGTCGTCTTGTTCCATGGGCAGGGACATTTTCCATGGGAAAGGGACACTTTCCATGGGCAGGGACTCATCTCGTTCCATGGGCAGGGACACTTTCCACTGCCCCCGGATGGCTCCAATCTGTCCTTGGACGCTTCCAGGGCTGGGGCAGCCACAGCTTCTCTGAGCAACTTGTGCCAGGGCCTCACCACCCTCACAGGGAAAAATTTCCCCCCAGTATCCCCCCTAACCCTGCCCTGTGAGTGACAGGATACTGGGGAGGCACTGGGTCCCTGTGGCCTTGGGTAAATCACTTAGTCTCTGTTTCAAAGGATAAGTGACCCAGAGAGATGTTCAGTGCTGAGACATGGAGCATAACACCTCAGAAAAAATAATTACCACACCACCTCCCCCCTCCAGGAAAGGAAAAAACCCCAAACTCATATTTAGCCGTGCTAAATGTGAGTTTTCCTTTCAAAGCATCCTCACTGCTTTGAAGCACTTGCACTCCAGATTACAAGGGAAACATCAGAGAATGAAATGTTGAACCAGCCTGTTGGATGTGTGGTGCAGCTAAAGGGGAGCTCCTGGATGACATCTGTGCTTCGAGGTGACAGAGATGTTTTCTGGCATTTTCTCCCTGCTGAGCTGTGCTGCTGTGCCACCACAGAACAGGTATTTCAGGTCATTCAGGGAGTGGTATCTGCATTTCAAGTATTCTTGTCTAGCTGACCTCATCATCCCCAAAGAGCTTTCACTCAAAATGCCCATTTCTTGCTCCTGCGTTTGGGTCCAACAAAACCCTGGACTATAAAAACCATTTCCTTCAGGGGAAATGCACTTTCTGGATATATTCTTACTATTTCCCACTTACTTCCTCATTTTTTTTTTTTTAATTTTCATTCTCTTAGAATTGGAACAAGAATTTCATTGGTTTCTGGGCCCCTACCCTGAGTTAGAACTTCCTTTGTACAACCCAGCTGCTCAGTCCTGCTTCACTACAGGCCACCACATGGAAGCATTTTTTTTTTTTGCTTGTGTCCAACACTCAGAGAAGGAACAAGAAGGATGCAGGAAAAGACTCAGAAACCAGGAGGCCTGTCTACCCACAGTGCTACAGGGATTTCCTTCGAGCAAAAAGACCCATCACACATGAAAGCCAAATGTAGCATCGTGTGGAAAACATTCTTCCTGCTGTTTAATGGGGATTGTTTGGGACCTAAGTGAGTGCAGAGGTGACTGTGAGTCACCACTCACCCTGTGCCTGGTCAGACAACCCCAATTAACACCTTAACTGGGAGGGCTTTTTGGAACCAGCTGATGGGAAACACCAGACCTTGAAATGAGGGGGGGTTTGAGGTATTTGACAATGACCCCTCATCACTGAGTGCTCATTTTGTTTTTCTCCCCTAAAGACACAGAATGAAGGGTAACCTCTCAGTTCAGCTGAGGTGCAAACAGATCCCTTCTCACAGAACTTCTGCCTTAGCAGGTATAAGGAACATAAAAAATAGGTCAGGTCATGACTGAGTCTGATGCTCTGTGTGACAGATCTGTGGCGTTCTGCCCTTTTTGAAGATGAATTTTAGAATTCAATTCCAGTAATACAGACTTCCCTTTATGCTCATATCCCTTTGAAGAGAGGTGCTAAGCAGATGATGGTGCCTGAGAAGGACTCAGTAGTGGTTTGTATCACTCAGCAATGACTGCACAAATCAGGTTATTGCTGTAGACATCAGATGCTGTTCATTGTTTGAAGGGCTCTAACATCACAGTTTCAAAGGATGTGATTTGCATCATGAGAGCAGGATGTTTTCCTCCTCTTGGGAGATATCTGTGTTTAACTGCAGCTCTGCAGTTTTCATCTGCAACTGCTCTGAACTGGCTGCAGCACTTGGATGCTTCTCCACAACGTGAGTCATTCTAGAGATTTAAGATACAGTTGTCTTCCAGTCAGTTGTTATCGAATACCCACACTCCAGATGGGTTTCAATTGTCATGAAGCTGTTTTACCAGTTTAATCTCCACTGGAGAAACTTTTCTGTGGCTTGTGAAACACTCTGAAATCCTCTGGCAGGGCTGAAGGAAAAGACTCGTGCATTAGATGTTTGCAAAACATTAGAGAACGTAATGTGGAGTGGGATGGGTGCTTCTGGACACCAAGACAAGCTGTCCTGGCCACACTTGCCACCCAAGCTGTAAGGAAGGATGGTACCAGCTACGTTCACCTTACCCAGCTCCCTGGACCCACCACTCCGCTCGTCCTCAGCGCCCCAAAACAAATAAATACAAACTGCTTATTCATGTTTTATTCGTTAGTAAACTTACTCGGCATAAATAATAAGAGCAGCCCCGCAGCACCTGGTGCCAGGTGTCGTGGGCTGGCCCCGGGGGGGCTGTGGGTGGGCACAGCCCTATTTCCTCTGGGCGCCTGCGATGGCCGGTTTCTCCTCGCGGGTGATGGGGATGGAGCGCTCGGGGACGTCGCTCACCTTCCTGGGCGCGCTGACGGTCAGCACCCCGTCCAGGGACAGGGACGAGGTGATGGTCAGAGGGTCCACGTCGTCGGGGATCCTGTATTTCCTGTTGAACTCCCTGGCGATGAAGCCGTGCTCGTCCTTCGGGAGGAGAAGGGACAGGCACAGTGAGGGGCGTTCGCTCGGCGCAGGCAGAGCTGGGATGGGGAGCCCGCGAAGGAAAACCTCCCAGGGACTTAAAAGGGCTTTTAAAATGAGATGCCCCCTCTAAAAAGAGCCAAGTCTGGCCAAAGGGAGGCACTGCCCTGGCTGGGTGCAGGTGCCTGCAGGTGCAAACACTGCAGAGCCCCACTGAGCTGATCTCTGTTAGAGTGCTGGATTGTGTTCTTAGCCAAAAAAAATTGCAGAAACTATACCAGGATTACAGGATTATTATTACTATTATTATTATTATTGTTATTATATTGTTATTGTTATTATATTATTATTTTGATATTATTTCGATTTATTTTTATATATAGATATTTTATTATTATTATTTTGAGTATTATTGTTATTTTTTTTATTATGTTCTTAGCAAAAAAAAGTTGCAGAAGCTCTGTCAGGATTACAATGCCATTATAATTATTATTAAATTATTATTATTTTATTATTTATTATTATTATTATTATTATTATTATTAATTATTATTATTATTATTATTATTATTATATTGATGTGGCAATTGCAGCTACTTTATCGTGAGTGTTCCCTTCCTTCCAGCAAGGAACTGGGGACAGGAGGTAGGAGGGATATGGGGGCTGGAAAATGCTGTTTCATCCACCTTTGAACATGGCTTTGGATTTCTCTCTGCCCAGCTGGCACCCAGGTCTCCAGGGCCAGCAAGAAGTGGGATTATGAGAGCAGAGCACAACCTTTAAGGGTTAGAAACTCATAGGTGGGCCTAGAAAAGGTTACACAACAGGGCAGTGCACTGGTTCCTTTTGTGGTTTGATTATTACAGCTTGTTGTCAGTGTATTGAACACCTCCCTGCATTTCTGGCCTCTGCCCAAAAAGAGGGAGGCCCAAAAATGCCCATTTCAAAGACGATTTTCCAGCTCGGTTCACAGTTCATGTAACATCAGCAATAAATGTTCACCCTCTTGCTGCCCTGTCTGGGATCAGCTGGGGGGGTTTGCACAGAGCATCTTCCACTGGGGTTGGCTGATAAAACAAAAAATGACAAGTATCTGAGGTGAGCACAGAGGAGGGATGTTTTGCAGCCTCCTTGTTTCACCAGAGGTGGGGAAGCTCCCGCTGGGAGTGGCACAGTTAAATCAGAGGTACCTGGCGCTCCTCGTGCTTCCCGTGGATCTCTATCATGTCCCCGAGCACCTTCACTTTGAGCTCCTCGGGGGAGAAGTGCTTCACATCGAGGTTTACATAAAACTTGTCCTTGTCCAGTCGCATCTGCAAAACAAGGAGGTGACTTCAGGAAAGAGCAGGTGAGGGTTTCTGCTTCGAGAGGCTCTCAGAACACGGCAGGTCAGCACTCAGCTGGTGTCCACACACGCACTGACCTTGGTTTTGGGGTTGTGATCTGAGTGGCTTTGTCCCTGGCTGGCCTGGCATTAATGCCCATCCCTGCGGTACCTGAGATTCTCAATTTGTTAAAATCTGCTAAAACTGCCCCTTGAGTTGGTGTAGTGCTGATTATGCTGCTTCAGTGCACAGCCAGACCCAGGTCGCTAAATCAGGGCAAACATTATGCAAAGATTAAAATAATACTTTCCTCTCCCTCCTTCTGCTCAGAATAGCTCTACAAGCTACTTGTAAATAAGAGATTGACTCGTAGAACAGGCAAGTGCCTCTTGGCTCAGCCCCTGAAGCAAGCAGACTCCTGCTCCTTGATCCTTTGGGTCCTGTATCCTGAAAACGCTGCTCTTCTCGGCAGTGATTCTTTAAAATAGGCCCCTTTTTCCTCAGCAGCCTGACATGAGCATCCCACTGCCCCTGCCCCTGTGCTGTTTGCTTCTCAGGTGGGAGTGGGATTGGAAGTTTGGCATAGCAGACTGGGAAATTAGAAAAATCAGGCTTCCTCCTGTCTTCTGTCAGCTCTTAGAGCCACCTCAGTTTCCTCTCTTCCCATCACTATGGCAATACTTGCTCTCAGCCCCAAACGATGGGCAGAGCATGCAGAGCTTCTTGCCTAACGAAGAGCCACAAGCACAGCCCCCTTCTCCCCAGCCTTCTCCTAAATATCCACCTCCAAGCAGCTTCCAAGCTCTCAGCTCTCCTGGGTGTCCAGCTCCAGAGCCAGCGGGATGTGCACACAGCGCTAACAAAGAGCACGAAGAAGCAAAGATTACCTCAGAGAGTCCTGTCTCTAGCCAACTGGGCATCCGAAGGATGGGGGATCTCATCAGGAAGGGGCTGAAGCTGGGGGAAACAGGGAGCAGCTCTGACTCCTGCAGGTGCTCCCCGAAAATCTGGTCAAAGATACGACTCGGTGCCAACCAAGAAAAGAAGGGTCTGCGGATCAGGGGGTTATGAATGGTGATATCCATTGGAGAGCGCTGGAGGAGCCTGGCAAACAACTGTGCTGCAGTGCCGTGCTGGGAGCCTGGGACAGCTTTATACCCGT